ACAGTAGCAGCAAAGAAACTAACACACACACACACACACACACACACACACACACACACACACTTAAAAATTAAGAACAAATAAATAAAAAACTCTTCTATTAGTGAATGATATTAAAGTGCATACTATTGCTGGTTTGATATGTCTGTTCCTGGTAGGTTCTTATTGATAGGATTAATGTTCATGCTGAAAGAAGAAAGTGTGTGTGTGTGTGTGTATGTTTTTCTATGTGTATGCACATATGCACATGTATATACATGTGTTTTTGCTACAAAAGCTCTAGTTTCTGTTAATGGTCATACAACTGTACTTAATACTATTAGTTTTTTTTTCTTTTTAGTCTATATTCTTTATCTTCAGCCAACATCACTAGTTGTCAATATTTTTAACCTGGTACGACATCATAAACCTTCATTTTGAAAAATCAATGTCCTTAATGAATCTGTCATTTGTTAGTTGTAAATTTCCAGTAATTCTTAACTGGACACAGTCCAGAAAGTTCTTTGGAGTGCAGAGCCCACTGTATAGCAATAACTCAAGTATTTTTTTCTTGGTAATCAGGATAAACTCTAGTTAATACCTCTCCATTGCTGGTGGTTTAGTGTCAAGTGACATTCTGAATTTCTGACTTAGCAGAAATATTGTGAAAACATTGTACTCCTGAGATCTACAATCTCTGAATTACCATAGTCTAAACTGCCATAAGCAAAAATGTGATTTTATTGGGCATGGTCAAAGGAAACACTACCACTGTCCAATTCTTACTACATTATTTTTTAGAATTTTGGTAAATATCATCGTATTTTTGTCACTAATGTAAAGCATATACCTTATTCTTTAAGAAGGAGCCTTCAGTGTTGAGGTCATATCTTGTAACTTGTATTAACTAAGTGTTTAGAAATCACTGCTTTTTTAAGCTGACTAAGAGCAGGCAACCACATTCATACATGAACCCATTGCTGCAGTTCCTTTGGTGTGGAAATCAGCTCCTTAGACATACTGTATGTAGGAAACATTAATAAAGTGTTTGCTAAACTTACAAATGGTGATACTGCAGTATCAATGAGGTCAGAGATGATAATTCATATTCCAGTCTTTTTCACTGAAGATAAATGTTACCCATTGCTAATCGGCTATAAGATTCTTGTAGATTGTGGCCTTAATATTAGTCTCCTGTATTTTGGAGCATTTTCTTCAATGAGTCAGATGTAGAGAACATTCTTAGAAACAAATATTTTCATGTTCAAAGATCTATTTCCATACCTGTTCTAAGACTTTGTTGCTCAATTCTTCTGTTTATTATTTCCAGATCTTGACAAAATGTCAATGTCATATTGCTCTTGATTCATTTTTTTATTAGAAAAGTATAGTGGAGGAAGTCACAACTTCCTCTGTAATGCTGCAGTCTCCCAGAGTAATTGATATGTATGTTAGGTTATTGCTGAGTGGCTGGCTTGTGAGGCAGCCTCAGCTTCTTCATGATGGGATACCTTTCTGTCTCTGCTGCTTTTCTTTTAATGAGAGTGTAGTGTTATAGCAGTCTGGTTTTGTTTGGCTCCAGAATATATTACATAACTAGTTTTTCTCCTTCCAATCTACATATTTTCTTTCCCTGTTAATTAGTCGTTGATGGGGAATGCAAGGCACTGCAGGCCCTTGGGTTGCTTTATATTATTGGACTCTAGAAACCTCACCAAGATGAAAGCACTGTGATTTTTTTTCTCCCCTCAAATATTGGTATTGAACCTAGAACCTCATGCATGACACATGTGCTCCATCACTTGCTCTTGCTCAGCCTTTGTTTTGTAGTTGATACATCTGTTGATCTCCAGCATGTGTGTGTCAAATGAAAGCATGTAAGTTACCCGAAGTTCTGTTCTTTAGGTCATTCCTCAGTTATCAGTGTAGTCTTGTTCTATATAATGTCTAGGTTACTAGGAGCTCTTCACAGCCCTTCTTATGACAATAAGTGGGATAATTGATGTAAGTTTTAAGAAATCAAAGTACAGGTACTGTGTATTCTATATTTGTCATGGTACTTTGCAAATCAATTATAGTGAATAGAAATGTATGCACAATTATTTGTTAATAGCTCTAGGGTGTCTGTAAGTTACACACACACTTTTTTTTTTTAAATCTTGAGGACCATTTTAATATTGGGGACTTTTAAGGGGGGGGAAAACAGCAGGATAAATAAGCAAGCTGACCAGAGGCTGGTGATGAAAAGAAGAAGAGAGAAGGGTGTACCTTCTGTAATGGAGATTGTCTAGTGGTTTACCTACCCTTTTCGCTTGGTGCAAGTGGGAGGGGGACTGCAGAGGGGAAAAAAGAGAGCTCAGAGCCATTTCTACACAGTTATGTATATACATAAACTGTAGAAACTTATTTCTTTCATTATCTGAGCCTCTTCTGAAATATGCTAGGCAGATTTTGACACCATCCTACTCTATGTAGCTTTTTGAGAACATTTTTTAAAAATTATCTTTATTTATTTATTTATTTATTTATTTATTTACAGTCCAGTTGTTATCCCTGTCCACCCCCCAACAGTTCTCCATCCCATTCCTCCTCCTACATCTTCAAGAGAATATCCCAATCCCCTCCACTCTGCCAGGGCTCCCCACTCCCTGGGGCCTCAAGTCTCTGGAGGATTAGGTGCTTCTTCTCTCACAGAGGGCAGACCAGGCAGTCCTCTGCTATATGAGTCAGGGGGTGGGGGGCTGAGGCAAGCTAGTATATGCTGTCTGGTTGGTGGCTCAGTGTCTGAGAGATCTCGGGGTGAGGGGCCATATTAGTTGAGACTGCTGATCTTCCTATGGGGTCACACTCCTCCACAACTTCTTACAGATTTTCCCCAATTCAACCACTGGAGTCCCCAGGTTCTGTCCATTGGTTGGTTGTAAATATCTGCATCTGACTCTTTCAGCTGCTTGTTGGGCCTCTAAGAGGGCAGCCATGCTAGGCTCCTATCTGTAAGCACATCAGTAATAGTGTCAGGTCCTGGGGTTTCCCCTTGAGCTGGATCCCAGTTTGGGACTATCATTAGACCTTCTTTCTCTCAGACTCCTCTCCATTTTTATTCCTGCAGTTGCTTCAGACAGGAACAATTCTGGGTCAGAGCTTTGATTATTGATGGCAACTCCATCCCTCCACTTGGTGTCCTGTCCTTCCACTGGAGGTGGACTCTACAAGTTCCCTTCTCCACTGTAGAGCACTTGATTCCTTTGAGTCCTGAGAGTCTCTCACCTCCCAGGACATTCTAGAAGGTTCCCCCACTTCCTACCTCCCAAGGTTGCCTGTTTCCATTCATTCTGCTAGCTCTCAGGGCTTCACTCCTGATTCTCCCCCATCCCCCAGTACCTGATCATGTTCCCCTTTTTTCTTCCCTGTCCCTTCTCCCATCTAGGTCCTTCCCTTCCTCTGCCCCCCATGAGAACAGTTTTTTTCTAGTCTTGAGCAGACTCTTAGAAGTACTCACAGTTGCTCAGTCTAAATTGTATTTTTCCTTATGCAAATAATTTGGGTTAAACATGTATTTCCATCTCTAGGATTTTACTGATAATTTTCAAAGTTACAGTTGCTTTGGATATAAAGAACCTCTCAGTGAGCTTCTTTAGAGTATGTGTTGATCTGATTTTAGAGGTAATGGGGGATGTTAAGGGTATGTGTTGGAAATAGGACTTTCTTTTCAAGATAACTACCCCAAGGAAGACACATAGGAGTTTCCAAGCCGTCAGAAGTTATTTGGCATTCTTAGTCGTGGGAGCATGAGCATAAAAGGTCCAGAGATTCAAGAGTTTAAGATTCTTTCATATGAGTCCACCTGGTATCTTTTATTCTACTTTTTGGGATCTCATTTCTTCTAAAATAGTACCATAATTTTCACAAGAGACTTAGAAAGTGTGTATGTTCAACTTCCACTGAATTTCTGCAGTCTCCCACATCAATTGAACTCATTCTCAGCGAGGTCACACCTGCTGGTAGAAGAAATAAACCTCTAAAAGGTCATACTCTGTACTTTCATGACTTCAGTTGGACAACTGGGTTTGCCATTTTCCTCTGTAACTGCATTAGTCAGGAGATCTTATATATCATAGTCCTTGTCATTATCTCTGTAAGCGTTTCTCATCCACTTAATCACTTTAGTTGCTTAGTTTTTGTTAAGAAAGCAAAGACTGAACAGAGTTAAATTGTATACCTAAGAGCCAAAGATATTATAAAGGAGGGGGGGGCTAATCTCTAGATTAAACTGAGTAGATTTTGTACACATAGAGGAAAAGATATCCCTTCTATTTTATGAGAGAGAGAGAGAAACAGAGAGAGAGAAACAGAGAGGGAGAATGAGCACAAGCACATATGTGACTTAGGTTGTAGATTTAGTATTAAGTAAAATCTTCTTTGATAACTTGTTTTTCTTAACAAAACTTTTCTTTTAAAACCAGGAGTGAGATAAAAGAGAAATTTTGAAGAAGTTTCAAAATAGTGTTTGTGATAGAAGTAGCAAGTCAAATGCTGATTCATTGAGAGTGATTGGAAAGTACACTTAGAGTTTTTAAAAGTGTGTGTGTGTGTCCCCGTCCGTCCGTCTGTCCGTCCGTCCGTCCAGAGGACAACTTAGAGGAGTTAGTTCTCTCCTTCTATTATATATGTTCTTGGGATGGAACTCAGGTTATCAGGTTTTGCAGCAAGAGACCTTACCCACTGAGCCATCTTACCAGCCTAAGACACTTTTTAATTCTCACTTTGACATTTGACTAATGTGGCAGCATAAGGCAAAAATCTAACTGTAAATGATATAATAGTATTAGGATAGAAAAGCAAGGATGACAGGGAAAATAATGTGGGCATTAGTCATTGTTAAAGATTTGTTAAAAGAGAGAACTTGGCTTTACCTCAAGTGTATCAGATTGATAGGAATAACAAGCAAGGCAATGGAGATGATCCTTAATGCTGTTGTGTAATGAATTAGAGATCATTTTTTCTTTCTGTCATCATTTTAGTGACTTTGGAGGTGAGACCATGCCAGGACCCACATTTGATCCAGCAAGTCACCCTGCTCCAGCTCCAACTCCCTCTTCTTCAGCATTTCGACCTGTAATGCCATCCAGGCAGATTGTAGAAAGGCAGCCTCGAATGTTAGACTTCAGAGTTGAATACAGAGACAGAAATGTTGATGTGGTACTTGAAGACAGCTGTACTGTTGGTAAGAATTATCCTAATAAAGCCTTCATAAGTGAATAATTCTTTAGGCAAATTCAAAGTTTACATAATTCTTTTCCTTTGAGTTGACTATCAACAAGAAGGGAAAGAAACACATTGAACTGGAAACTTTCTTATTCAGGTTATTCTACTCTTAATTTGAATATACATTGTCGTATTAAGGTAAGTTCAAGATTTTGAACATCAATTTTTGATGTACTATTTTAAATTGTTTCATTGTTGTTATTTTTGTGTGCTTTTGCTAATACAAAGTATGTACTCTAAGGTACTCTACATATTGGACAAGCACTCCACCACTGAGCCATAGTCACAACCCTGTGTGCTGTTTTAGGATTGCTGTAAACGTAAAACCTAGGAGCTTCAAAAAAATACTGGAATTTGATTTGAGTTCACTGTATACCAACTCTGCAACTGTTCCTACTGTTTCATACTGTTGTGTCTGTTTTGTGCTGCCACAAAAGACTACATAAGCATGAGTAATTTTATCAAACATTAAAATTAGTTTTCTTATGTTTCTGCTGGGAAGTCTAAAGATTAAGGCACTTAATCACAGTTTGGTGATACCTTCTGTTTGCTTCTAGGATAGAATTGGTGCTATATTCCCTGGAGGGGATGAGCACCATGACCTTACATGACAGAAGGCTGGAAGAGCAAAAAGGAGAGACTTTCTTTTTTAAGTACTTTAATAATCTCTTTCACGGAAGTGGGAAACTTGTTGCCTAAATTACCCCTTAAAAACCCTGCTTCTTGATACGTGTCTTTTAAATTAAGATTTTTATTTTTGTGAGAATTTCATACATGGGTAGTTTGCTTATGTCATATTTACCCTCTTCAACTTCTCTTTGCTCTCTTTAGTTCATGATCTCTATTTCTTTAATTATTATTGCTACATTCACCTACTATAATATTACTACGTAATAGGTATTACTCACACATCTCTTCACAGTCTGGTTATATTTGTTCTGGATTGCAGTTATTCTCTGACAGTGAAATGGATGCCAATCAGGACTTGTGTCTTGAACCTTCTCCTTACTTACTTTTGATATAAATATGGAAGGCATGCTAGAGTTGGTATAATGTTTTTCTTTTGCTGCATTTGATTTCCTAAATTCTAAGATTCACTTATTGTTCGAATCTCTTCTATTTCCATCTTCTTTATTTCAGTTCTGGAATTGATTTCTTTGATGTGTAAGTAAAATGGTTTCTCTATGTAATTTACATGTATTTATTTATATCTTCTATAATGAGACTGATGCACTTTATCCAACACACAAATCCCTAGTGTGTATTTAAGTTACTCCCCGTCTCTCACATTGTATTTGCTTTACTTTTGTGGAAAACTCCTGCTTAGACTTCAAGATCTTATATATAATTTTCTCCTGTGACACAGTTCTTAACCTCCATGGATGTAGTAATTTGAATACTTTAAAAATGAATCTTAAATATCAATTCTTTCTTTGTGTTTGAGGTTTTCCTTATGAATGTTTTCAATCTTAGAAGACCAGGTCTTATTTTAAAATTCTTTCTCCAGTCATTGTATTTGACACAGTCATATCTATTGAGGGGATGAATGGCTGAAAGAAAAGAAGGTAGGGGTATATGTTTATATAGATTAAGTACCCATAATAGGACATTTCAAATAGACATTAAATTTGTGACTTGCAATATAATTAATTATTATAGACCGTCCTATGGTTTTCAGGAAGTGAATAAATGTTAGTTTCTTTTTAGAAAAATGATGCTCAATAAGATAATGCTTTTGCTGTTGTTGTTATTTTGTTTTTGTTGTTTTTTATTACTTGGTAGATGGAACAAGATGTAAAAAGTAAGGCTAAATTCAGTCAAGAAAGTTATACCAGAGTGACACCTAGTGGTAGCTGCATTGGTTAATGGTTTATGTCTTCAGTTTCATACCTAAAATCTTCTGAGTTTTATTTTCTAATTTTGAATAATTTAAATCATTTTTAAAGGACTTGCCCTTTTATAAAGTACTTACTGTATAAAATAATATGATATTCTGAGGGCATGGATTTTTATGTATTAGTGTGTGTCCAAGATCTAGCAATGGATTTTATACCAGTTATTTGTTTAATAAAGTTTTTTCTATCAGTGCTGTGAACAAACTTGAGTTTTCTAGATCCATTCAGCATGACCTTAGTTTCATTTCTGGAATGTATTAGAAAATAATAGATTATGAGCCATTTGTTTCTCCTGCCCACCTGCTTTTAATCTACTTTTAAAATGCTATGTTTATTATACTGAATATCATTTTAGTTTAAAAGAATGAGCTTGAAAATATAAACATTCAAAAGCATTTACCACATGCAATTTCACCCTGAAGAAGTTTATGTTTTTTAAGACCAGTTTTGTTCAGAATCTCTGAACTTCATTTTTGATCTTGACCCTGTGAATCAGATTAGCTGTGTGACCTAACCATTCCAGAGCCCCAGATATGTCATATGAATAATAAGCACCAAGTGAATTTTTTGGGAGGAGGATGTAGTTGTTACCAGTAATTTCAAAAACAGGAAGTGTGGTTGTCTTATTTGCCTTGCAGTGATACTGTCTATTTCTGTATCTTTTCTTTCATAGATTTTACATATAGCCTGGTTATGCATAATTGTCATTTTATGTCTAGCTTACTTAATTTAGTATAATGTCTTCTGTATTCATTCTTATTGCAAATGACAGAATTTTGTTTTTGTTTAAGGATGAATAGTGTTCCATTGTATACATACATATCATTCATTGGTTGATTGGCATTTAAGTTGTTTTCATTTCTTTGTGAAGTGAGCATGGGTGTATAGACATCAGTCAGTAGACTGATTGCAAGTTCTTTGGGTATTTTCTCAAATGAGATACTTCTCTACCTAGATTTACATTTTAAATACTGTGTTTATTTTAAATAGGAAAATATATGAAGAAATATGTGTCTTCCTCTTTATTTGTTCTGGCTTCTCACTGTGATCAGCTTGATTGTTTTGTTAGAAATCTTCACATTTTACTTTAATTTTGTTCTTTCAGTTTTATTCATCATGTCAGCATTCGTTATCTTTCAAGCAAGACAACAATCAGAAGAATAAACATTTTTCCTAATGGCTTCATTTTCTTCTATTTTTTCAAGCTTTCTTTCTTTCTCCCTTTCTCTCTCTCTCTCTCTCTCTCTCTCTCTCTCTTTCCTTCCTCTCCTTCTCTCTCTATCTTTCTCTCTCTTTCCTTCTTTCTTCTTTCTTTTTTCTTTCTTCCCTTCTTCCTTTCTCTTTCCTTTCTTTCCTTTCTCTTTAAAAATTTTTTTTTGAGACACTATTTCTTTATGTAGTCTTGGCTGTCTTAGAACTTGTTCTGTAGACCAGTTTGGCCTCCAACTCCCAGAGATCTGCTTGCCTCTCCCTTGGAATGCTGGGCCTCAAGCCTTTTGTTAATTTTTGTGTGTTTTCTCCCACAACAATTTTTTTTCTATTAAAGGAGGAAATGCACATAGTAGTGACTAAACTAGTCATATATTAGTAAAAATAATGTAATAATAAAATATTATATACTATATTCCTATAGTATAACATTTTTTTCTATTAAAGAAGGAAATGCACATAGTAGTGACTATACTAGTCATATAATAGTAAAAATACTGTGATAGTAAAATATTACATGCTATATTCCTATAGTGATTTTCCTTTCCTAGAGTCTCATATTTAGTTGTTAAATTAGGAGATCCACATTTAACAATTACTGAAAGTTAGTTATAAAAGTCTTTCATGTAATCAGACAATGCCATTTCCTCACAGATGTTTGTTGATCAGTTTATATGTAATGATGCACTAACTTATAAAGATGTGTGCAAATAAGGCAGCCCTTATGTAGATGTCTTTCATGATTTGTTCTGAGCTAGAAGGCTAGAAATAAAAGTAACTATTCATCCATTCATTCATAACTTGCACACATACACAGTCTGCTGATACCAGTTACTGTGATGCAGTATTTGTTTAGTCACACTAACCTTTACTATAATGCAGTAAGGAGCATTTTTATTCTTGTCACAAGTGAGTAAATTGATGTTGAGAGGCTTTCCAAGTTAGGAAGTCAGTCTTTGACTGATTCTAGAATACATTTTTTCTAATGATGAAATAATTTATCCTATACTTCTGTGAGGATGTTGAAAAGAAGTCAATTAATTCTGTTTTAGTTTTAAAGAAAAAACTTGAAGGGGAATAAACAGGGTTGTGGGAGTGGCCATATGAGATTCTAGACAGGATCAGGCTATGACATATGAGTCAGTATGTCATGTGGACAAAGTGGAGCAAAGTATATTGTAGACAGAGCAAGAACACAGATGAAGGCCTGAAAGTGGCTTGTGTCTAATGAAGAGTAATGCTTATGAGCATGAGGTTTGGGTTTAAGACCTTTAAAGTTATATTCTGATTGAAAAACATTTTTAAGAGAAGCTAAACATTGTAAGAAAGTACTAGCAAAACATATACCTTCTAAAGAACTTTGTCCAGAGCGCATGAAGAGCTCTCAAAACTCAAATTTCATAGGACAAGCTAATGTCACATAGGCGTGGAATCAAGTATATGTTTTTATTAAGGAGAGGATAGGCAGGATATAATAATGTGACAATATGTTCAAAGTCATTAGTCATTGGGGAAATGTAAACTAAAGCACAATGAGATGCATGTTTGTACAAATTAGGATGAGTAAAATATGAACTGAATACCAAGATCTGCAAAGAATGCACAGCAATGGAGGACTTATCCTTTGTTGACAAAAGTGTGAAATGGCAAAACACTTCTCAAGTAACGTTTTATTCTTAGGTATTTACAAATAAGATGAAAACATGCACATACAAAAACTTTCAAATACAAGTTCATAGTATCTATTTGTAAGAATCCCAAAATAGAAACACCTCAACTGTCTTTCCAGCAGATAGGCAGCTAAGGTATAGCTGTGTGAGGAGCAATCAAGGAGAACATACTAGTGCTGCAGTCAGTGTGAAGATGAATGGCATGTCATTATAATAAGAGAAAGGAGCTGTACACTGGAAGTGATTTATATAGTCATACTTCTGGCTTTACATAGTGAAGCAAATGCTGAAGTGAAGCTGACTTTGTAAAAAATGCAAGTGTTAGTGCTAAGGGATATAGTATTCACTCCTTGAATCAGTACTTTGTATTATGATAAGGCACCTGTAGTTTATACAACATTACTGTTGTGCCATCAGTTTCAAGGAACCAGAGGAACCTATCTGTTACTCTTTTGAGAACCACGGTTCTGGATACTTCTGAGGAAAGCATGTAAAGCCATTTCAGAGATCAATCTGATGCACACAAAAAGTAAATGCCTACCCAAATGAACTTCTATACTTTTAAAAGGTAAACTAATATATCCAGACAGTAAAGTAAGTCTTCACACCTGTCATTCACACACTACTAGATGCTAGTAGAAGTTACAGATGTGACTTACAACCCACGGAGATAACAAACTACAAAAGGCTGTCTTTAAATATTAGCAATAGTAGAAGGGGAGACTATGTAGTTAAAAGCAAGTCTTAGGAAGATGTTTAACAGTGTAAAGGAGAGCAACACATTAATAAGGACAATAATTCAAAATACTGAAAATTAACTAAGACGGAAGATCTGCCATTAAAATTTTACTCAGGAGTCAGGGGAGCTAGCTAAGTGAAAATTCAGCTTGAGTGAATCTCCATCACCCATGTCAAAAACTGAGCATAGTTGAATGTGCCTGTAACCCTGGCATTTGGAGTGGAGACAGGCAGATCCTGAGAGCACTCTGGTCTGCTTGCCTAGCTGAAAAGTGAGTTTCTGGTTCAGTAAGAGAACTGATTTTAATGCAGTAAGGCAGAGAGTAAAAGAGGAATACAACTGATGCCCTGGCATCTGCATGTGAATGTACAGGTGTGCGTGTTCATGCATTTTATACTTCACAAAACTGTTTAGACATACGAAGTATAGAAAGAAAACACTATGTATAAGAGCAGAAGTTAATAAAACTAGAAAATCTATAAGTCATAGAGAAAAGGAACAAAACTTTTCTTTTTGAGGTGAGTAAAAATCAGTAATCTTCTTGCTAGAATGAACTAGAATAGTGAAAACATAGATTATTTATGTTGGAAAGGAAAGAGATACCTGAAGATATAATACTGTCTATAAGATTTGTGTGTTTTTGCTATATTCATATGTGTAAATATTTAATGTGGATATCAACTCTATAAATTGAACTGAAAGGCTACACCTTCCTACCAAGAAAACCTCAAGTGTAGATGACTTCATGAGTGAATATGTTTAACATTTAAGAAGAATACTATCAGTCCTTCTTCACAAATAGAGAAAGATGAAACATTTTTATAATTATTTCATGAGACTAATATCATCTTGATAGTTAGATCAGAGAGAGAGAGATATTATTGAAAATACTTGTTTTTTTCCTTTCATTTTCCTTTCTTTTATGTGTGCATGTGTGTGTGTGTGTGTGTGTGACAGAGAGAGAGAGAGAGAGAGAGAGAGAGAGAGAGAGAGAGAGAGAGAGAGAGAGCGCTCTCTCTCATGTGTGTTTGTGTTTTTTTTTTTTTTTTTTTTTTGAGACAGGGTTTCTCTGTGCAGCCTTGGCTGTCCTAGAACTCACTCTATAGACCAGGCTGGCATCGAATTAGAGAACCACCTGCCTCTACCTCTCAAGTGGTGGAATTAAAGGGGTGCACCAATACAGCCCAGAAGAAAATATTTCTTCAGATAGGGTGAAAGGAGAAAGCTGACTTGATGAAGCTGGCCTCTGACTTTTACATGTATGCTCTGACATGTTTGCTCTTGCCATATCCACACTAAAAAAACTTTAAAAGCTGTGATTTAAATTATATTATTTTAGGTTTAAAAAATGTTAGGACAAGAACATATGTTATTGTTATATAAACAAGGGATACATTCAGTAAAAAGGAATGAAATCCTGTTATATGGTGCTAAGTGGATGCAAATACAGGGCATTATATTAAGCAAAATGCAGAAAGATGAAAATAACATGTTCTCCCACATGGACACCAACAAAGCTGATCTCATAGGAAAAGGGAGACTAGTGAGAATTTAACAGAATTGTTTAGAGACTAAGAAAAGCAGGGGAGAGGAGAAAAGTTGGTGTACTGGCTATATTTTCTATTCTGCTATGCATGTGGAACAAAAGTGTTGAGTTTTAGTTTTATCCAGGCTTCTGCAAAGAATAATGGGGACTTTAAGACCTTTAGTTCCCTCTCCTCTCTCTTACTAAGAACTTCTTTTAAGTCAGGAAGCTTGCATGCTTTCAAGAATGTAAGAAAGAAGTGTATGGTGGAGATAACTATAAAGAGGACAGCACTGGGCAGCCTTGCAGATGTATATGCCCAGACAAGGACAGCTCTATAAATAGCACCTTTATCCATGAAAGAAAGACCGTGTCTATATGTGGTTGGGTAACAAATATGACTAACTTACTGTTTCCACAAACAGAATATTTTTCAATAGTGACGATATTGGAAGTTGAGATTGATTTATGCATCTGCAAGTGCAATTTTGAATCAGAACCCCCCAACTCTTGATGGCTAGTCACTACCTAGAATGTACAAAATGTCTTAAAATTTTAAAATTGCATTTTATTGTGTGTGCGTGTGTGAACATACGGCATGCATGTAACGGTCAGATGACAACTTTAGAGACATATTTCTTTTACCATATTGACACCAGGTATCATATTCAGGTCTTCAGTCTTGACAGCACAAACCATTACTAATAGAGCTATCTTACTGGCCCAGTCTTTTCTCAAGCAAAGTAAAAAGAAGTCCTCAAGTCCATGAAGAATTCTTTTGTGTTGTTGCTGATTTAAGCAGCTGGATATAATATAAAATTCTTTCTCTTATTTCATTTTCTCCTCATGGGTTTTATTTTCCTGATTTGAACATTTAATCTTTTGTATTCATTTAATATAAAAACAATGGAATTATGTGTTTTTTTAAATTATAGATTAATAGCAAGTCATCATACTTGCAGATGGATAGATATAAGACAAATTTGCACATTCTGAATGATCAGCTTAAAGCAATGGAGTGCATGAAACCTACCCGTACGCTTATAGGTAGAATTGATTTCTACAGAAGAATTTGTGAATCAATGAGAAAATTGTACTTCCTTGGTGTGTCTCTTCAGTCTGTTGTCCTTTAATTTAATTTTAGCCTTTCAGGTTTTTTGTCCTCACTAAGTGATGTTCTTGACTGTTTTGATTTGAATATCCTGTGCAGCCCAGCTGTGCTTTGGACTGGTTTCAGGTTCACTTAATGCTGCACTTAGGTTTTGTCTGCCTGATAAAGCCTTTAGCTATTTCACTAGTTCCCCCTTCTCCCTCTTCTGGAACTCTGCATTGTTTCAACACAGTTTAATTTGTCTTCTAGATCATATATTGTCTTTAGTTTTTTTTTTTTTTTTAAGAATGACATCTTGTTTCATCCTTATACCCCATGGATAGATGAGGTAGGCAGAACTTTCCTCTATTTTATAGATGCTGAAGTAGCAACCAGCAAGTAACTGTACTTCTTTCAAGCAAACTTTTAACCCTAATTTTCATTGCAAAATGTGTTTTCCTTATACTGAGGTACCTTATGTTTTGTAATGTATGTTCCACTCCAATCATGTGCTGAGCACATGGTAGATATCTAGTGGGCTGTAAGGGGCTTAGAAATTAGAATGTTCACATAAGACTTGCCTTTGGTCTATAAGATACTCAGCTATTAGAATGTCCACATGAGATTTGCCATTTGAATATACTCTGTTTATTTACTGAAACATTCCTTACAATATCTTGGTATTACAAAGATTAAGGTAGTCTCATGTAAACAGACATCTCACCAAGGTTAATGGATGAACAGGAAATGCTGCAGGCTTCCACTGGGGAATCTTTTCTGGGTGAGGGTGCTTAAGGAGGGGGTTTGAGAGCTTAAGACCAGTGTCTGCTGTGAATTACTTCAGCTATCTCAGGCCCAGAAGATGACTCTGTTGGAAGTTCCAGAAATTCCTTGAAAGCCTTGGCCAGCAGCTAGTGCTGACAGACAGGGATGCATGAAATGTTCTGCGAAACTGAGCCAGAGCCACATAGTGGCCAATCTCGAAATCCCCTTGCTGTTGGGAATCAGCACAGAGGCTTGAGATGATGTGTTGGGAGCAAGGTAGTGCCATCTTTTGTATTATTCAGGCTACCAGTGTTTACAGCTTAGGGCTGGCTCATTAACATATCAGAACCTGCCTTAGGCTTGGCTTATATCAGGAGCTGCCTTGTGGCTGGCTTGTATCTTGCAATCATTGCATTATTCTAAGTCATATAATATAGCTTCACTTAGGTTCCAAACAATATTGCTTATTAGTTTATTTTCTGTTCAGATTTTTTTTTTTTTTTTCGAAACAGGGTTTCTCTGTGTAGCCCTGGCTGTTCTGGAACTCACTCTGTAGACCAGGCTGGCCTCGAACTCAGAAATCCACCTGCCTCTGCCTCCCAAGTGCTGGGATTAAAGGCGTGCACCACCACCGCCCGGCTTCTGTTCAGATTCTTAAACCACTGATATCTATTTCTTTTTAGAAAGCCATGCTTTTATAAAAGTGAAGTTTATAATTAGCTATTTAATAAATTGTGAAATATTTTTTGTCATTTTGTAGCCTAAGCTTTTCAGTAGAGCAGCATATTATTTGATAAGAAAAAATTTAAATTTGGAGTACTTAATTTTTAAGCAATTATTGATCAGTCAGATGTCATTGAGTCTATATTATATACCAGATATTAATGTCCTGATATAGTCAATTATTGTTGCTGCCTCGTTAGTTACATTTGTTCTTTTCGTATTTGTACAGGAGAGATTAAACAGATTCTAGAAAATGAACTTCAGATACCTGTGCCTAAAATGCTGTTAAAAGGCTGGAAGACTGGAGACGTGGAAGACAGTGTGAGTTTCTTAATTGTCTAGAAACAAAATAAAATTAAGTTCTATGATTAACTGATGCCTAAATGTTGGTTTTTAGCTTTGTGTGCTTGCTTGCTTTATGAGACAGGGTCTCATGATGCACAGGCTGACTTGAACTTCTTTGTAGCTAAGGATGGCCTTGAACTCCTGATCCTCCTGCCTTTATTCCCTCTGCCCCCAAATGCTAGGATTTGCCAAGCACCACTATGTTTATCGTGAAAAATTACTTTTGGATAATTTACATATGTCAGAAGTAAATTTGGTGGTAGTAATTTAGTTTAATTCCCAAATAATATTTTTCAAGTTAAATAATTTAGTATCAACCAGTAATGGTTTTAAATGAGTTTAGGTATGCAAATAAAAACACCATGTGGCATGTTTTTCCTATTTTTAAGTATTCTTTCTTTTAGGAGGTTGGTACCTTTTTGAGAGCATTTACCTTTTTCTCAAACCTCTTAGGGTATCAGTGAGTGCCCTGGAATAATAATTTACTGACCAATTACTTACTGGCCTGAAAGAAGTCACATACACTGTGTACATTTATGCCAAGTATTGCATATGGAACAAATATAATAGGAAACTTTTAAAACTTGGAAATTTTAAATGGTAAGAATATTTCTTCATTTCCTTGGTTAGTGGCAGGTGCATGGAATGAATTAATATCTTGAGAATTTACAGAAGGTACCATTAGTTTTCAAGTAATAGTGGCTATTGTTATGGACTCTTTAATGAACAGCCTCATGTATAAAATATTTCACTTTTTTTTCCTTAAGAGAGAGCAGGAATGGAAAGAAAGAAGTGAGTTAGTGTTAAAGTTTTGTTTAAGGTAGAAATAATTATGATTCTTCTTACACAATTACTGAGTCTATATTTCTTTGCCAGGCATAAATAAAATCTTTTGGTGTATTATTTTGTAAATGATTTGTGGTAAGTTGTATTTATAAATGATTCATACACATACACACACACACACACACACACATGTATAATTGATATATTTATTTGGTATTATATTTCATAGAGACATTTACTAGAATTTCAGAGTCTAGGCAAGAACTTTAAAGTTTTGATACAGTTAATGATGTGCTATATCAGGAGCCAGCAAGCCTCTTCTGTATAGCCAGGGAGTAAATATTTAAGCTTATCTAACCTCTGTTACAGCTGTTCTACTCTATTCCTGAAGAGTGAGAACACCCCTGACAATTTGTGAAAAGCAAACATAACTCCTTTTCAGTCTAACTTTACTTATGGACACAGAATTTTAATGTTTTAAAATTTTATGTCATTAAAATATTCTTTTGATTCCTCCCCAGTCATTTAAAAATGTAAAAGCTATTTTAACTTGCACAGCATACAAAAACAGTTTAGTTTGTCCATGTCCTTAGTTTGTTACTTCTTGGTGCTATGTAGTCCTCAGGTTGAAATCAAGGGAGGTGTACATATCAAGGGCAGCTTAGGGAGCTGCTTGTTAACAGATTTTCACTCCTAGCTTTTGTCTATTCTGATAAACAGGGTTTTAAACAATATGAATGAGTAGTTGATAGAAATAAGCAGCAAGAATGAAATCATTTACAGTTTCTTTTTAATTGAGAAACCTGTGGTAATCTAATAATATTACATCCATTTTCAGAAAGGATGTCAGAAAGGATGCTAATAGAAAGGTGGTCATTTTGAAAATGTTCTTATGGTATTATTCTTTTTAATTGGGAAGTCTTTTGGTTACAATACTTAAAATTATATATATTTTTTTAATGTAGGATTTCTGTGATTCTCATGGCATCAATTTTTGATTGCTTCCAAATTTATATTTTCATTCCATACTTCAATGAATTTATATGTCTAAGTTGACAATTAACTCTTATATTTGCATATCTTCTTTTTGTTCCCCTTTCTCTTCTTTCTTTCCTTTTTCTCTTTTCTTTTCTCTGCTTTTTTGGTTATTTGAGACAAGATTTCATGTAGCCAAGGCTGGTTTTAAACTCATTAAGTAGCTAAAGATATCTTTGAATCCCATATCTTTCTGTCTTCACTTCTGTTCTGTACAGTCTAGAGAATGTTCTACAATAGCTATATTTTCAGTTTTGCATGAGTATTAGAATTTGTAGCAAACCTAAGTAAGAGAATAAATAACAAAAGGTGGATACATAGACAGCAAGGTGTCATCAGATTGGATACTCATAACATCCAATGGAAATCAACTTGGGGAATCCCCTTTAAGGCAGCCAGCTGGAGTTCTCCATCCAGAGTATTTCCTCAGGTGAAACTTTGAAATAAGAGGACAGATAGCAACCGTCAGAGATACATCATCAAATTGTGTGCTTGCAACATCCAGCAAAAATTGACCAGAAGATTTAGGACAGTTTTCTGGAGTTAGCTCACAGTGGGCTTTTTCAGCATGACCGAGCTTCCCATAGCTGGACTTCCTGCTCTTTTTTTTGACTGCAGCCACTTTTATGCCATAGATGAACTAGTAACAACTGCTGACATGTTTTACCTTCTAGCTGTTTTCAAGGACAAATGTTTTTACCCTTTAGTCTGTTTTGCTATTATCTTCTCTACCTAGCACAGGAGCTGGGGTTGGGGGTGCAGCCTATTCCCAGACCTTGCAAGAGATTTTTAGACATTTCTGCTTGATTTGAAATGGTGGGGGACAGCCCTGCTTTCCAAGCCAGCCTCAGATGAGCTCAAACAACACGAGGTAGTTTACCACATAATGACGTTTCCCCTTCCCAGGTGCTGGGATTATGGATGTGCAGTCACCATAACCAACTTCATTCTCAAATATTTTAATGACATCTTAGACAGACATGCTTTAAAGAGAACTCTTGATTCTCTCCTATTTTTTTTTATTTTTGTTTGTTTGTTTTACTAGTTTTCTTCAATAAAGTCAGCCTTGTGTAGCCACTGGTAAAACAAAAAATAATGGTTGTGAGTCTTTTCCTTTATCTCACAACACCTCACAAAATATCACAAAGTATACTTTGGTAAGTTCTATTGATTATATTTCTAAAATATTTCTTAACCAAGGATACTTTTCAGTATTTTTATTGTAACTGTCTAATCAAGACTGTTAGTATCTCTACCCGGACTAATGTAATATCACCATTACATTATGGCGACTTCTAGTTCACTCCAAGGTTAGCAGCCAGAATGATCTTTTGAAAACATGAATTGAAGAACACTGCGCTTTTGTTGAAATACAGCTTTTATACCTTTCTCAACCTTACAAGTGCCCATTGAGATTTTCTACTCTAAGCTTCTGTTCCATGGCTTATTTAAAAAACTTTTTACTAGGATTGAACTTTTTACACAATTCCTGACAGATACTGTTCAATTCTTTGGAACCATTATTACCTCTAAATCTTTACGTAAATGGCTCTTTCTCTCTTTGAGTTTTAGCTTTATACTATCTGTGCAGTAGGCATTTGGCTCTCATTCTGTGATTTCCTACCATATCAGTATAAGAAGAAGAGGGGTCATATCTGTTTCTGTCACCAGTGTAGATAGAATTCTTGGTATATTGGTATCAAATAAAGGTTCATGGATGAATGCATGAATAAATGGCTTAAAGAAAGGGTCCATTTTATTTAATCATGCCATATATGTTTTGATGGGGAAGATTTGATGGAGACTCGTTGGATAGTAGATTGACAAAAGTAGAATAATGACTTGATTGAGTGCTAAGAATATTTTTCTAATTCACAAAGTAATAAAAGATGAAAGCTAAAGATAAATTTCCTGTGTATAAGTGTATACACTTGGTTTGCATGCTAACATTATTGAGAGAACACACTAATTTCAAAAGGATGTTCCATATTTAACATAAAATTTCAGATATTCATGTATCCCGATAGGTTGTAATCTTATAGGTAATTGTGTATTGTGTTTGTTTTCAAACCATGCACCATAAACCTTTAATAGGTTGTGAAGTTAATTGAATGGGCAATAGAAAACATACAGAAAAAGGAGGAGAAGAAAAAGAAGTGGAATACAACAGAAATGTCATTCCAATGTAAATAATTAGGGTATTTATTTTTATTTAAGACTGCACTTAGTAAGATGGGCCCTCTCATGGAGCAGTTAAAAGTTCTTCCTGTGGCCTGCTTGGGTAAGATCACCTTTCTCCAGGTGTCTTTTTCTTCATCTGCAGAATTAAGGAATCCTTACTTAAGGATTCCTTAAGTACTCCTTGCTTTTTAACACTTACAGCCTTGCCATTATTATTTGTTTTGACTCCTGCCAGGATTGACTTTGGTACCCTTTACCTGTTTAAGCCAATCATTGTAAGGAGTTTGAGATTTCCAAATCACTCCTCTCCTGAATCTTCATAGTCTGTACATTCTGTACCTGTCTTATCTTTCCTTCCTCTATAGTGCTGTAAGCCTTTTTGCTATGTGCCATGGAACTAATCCATCATTAGCAAAATTACTTTTATTAAACTCTTTCATGTACATTTCCTTTTCTGTCTGTCTTCTAAGTGAAAGCCATCTTCCTCAAGAAGTTGGTTCCTTTGCAGTCTTCTTAGTGTTAGTTTCATTTTGGTAGTCCTTTTACAGTTGGAATAAATAGCAAAATATGTGTCTATTTTTAGCTCTAGATCATTATCTGTCTTTTCTATCAGAATTCCTTCAGCTGTGAATTTATGTCAAAAGGTTATATCTTTTTGATAACTTAATGAAGTTATCCTGTTTCTTTATGATTGTTAGCTTCTGGCTCATAATTACTCTTTGACTTAATTCTTATTAATTTAATTCTAAATTCTAGCAAGACTTAGACATTTAAAAAAAAAGATTTATTTTATTTTTTTGCTTATGTCTATGCACTTGTGGGTATAGCTGCCTCCAGAGGCCAAAAGAGGGTGTTGGATCCCAGGAGATGGAGTTACAGATGGTTTAGCCGCTTGGCTGAGGTACTGGGAACCAAACTCTGGTTCTGCAAGAGCAGCAAGCACACTTACCTGCAGAGCGGTCTCCAGCCCCTCTTACTAATTTCAATATCTTGTAAATTATTCTTACACTGGCCACTTAGTTCCTTCGACCTTCTCCCTATAAAAGTCTTTCACTATACTTTGCTTCACTCATCTCTGCATGCTTTTAATATTCTTTTAACAATGGCAGAAGCTTTCATCTTAATTTCAAGTTCCTTTTTTTTTCTGAGTAGTTTTCATCATTTAATTCATTTGATTCAATATTCTAGCTCCAACAATTCTCCAACTCATGCCTTCAATCCATTATTTCTGCCATTTTTTAACTTAAGAAATTACATTTATTTATTTGTTTAAACATTTGTACTGGCTGCTTTTGTCTGAAGTGCTCTTTCTCTGTATAATTTTGTTGGTAGCCTTGCTACCTTCAAACCTTCCCTCAATGAGCATAGCCTCTGATTCTCGAATTTAAAATTATGAAGCTTCCCTACTTCATATTCTTCATCCTCATTCCCTGCCTTATCTTTAGTTTAAAACAAAACAAAATGAAACAAAACAAAACAAAACTACTACCTTCTAATTTTCAACTGAATAGATGACTTTAATCCTACTAAAACAGCACCTCTCCCGTACTGTACCCAAATAAGGATTCCTAGGTTTTTCTAGCTAGTCTTATGATTAGGATGGTCTTCGTACAGAGAGGTAATGCAGTAAAATTTGATGAATTTAAGTGCATGCCCTTGAGTGCATGCTGTGGAAATGAATTTCCTAATGTGTATACATGTTAGCATGAGCTAACACAAGATTGGGAGTATAAAATGTAGGAGTTTTGTGACAGTGAATAAATCAGTGTATGTGGGTATGACTCACCAGTGAGATTTAACAAAAAAGATCTCTAGAGTCAGAATAAAGTGACCTAGAGTCCATAGTCAAAGTCGCATAACCTCTTAGGCTACAGCTCCTCATTGTTAAGAATCCTTGGTTTGAGGTGCTTTCTATGATTCCCCCCCACCCCCAGGTCTAAAGCCTGCATTACTAATTTTTTTCCTATGAGTATACTTCAGTGGAAAAATTGATGACTCTTAGCTGCGCTCTTATCTGTATGCATCTCCTGTGAGCTAAAAGTTTTCCTCATGCTGTAATGTTCAGATTTGTATTAATTTACAGTAAAAATAGCAGAAACAAGATGGTTTGGATTTAGCTGCTCTTCTGTTATATTTAGAAAATTACCAAAAGTTGAAAGATCAACCTAAAAGTTGCAAAACATTCAAGAATTGTTAAAAATTACTAATGTACACAACATTTAATTTTGTTTTCTCTTCTTCTTTTCTATTCCAGACGGTCTTAAAATCACTACACTTGCCAAAAAACAACAGTCTTTATGTCCTCACACCAGACTTACCACCACCTTCATCATCCAGTCATGCTGGGTAAGGTATTTACTTTTCCTGGAAATCTGAAAGGAAAAAAATTGATGAGTAATTTCTCTAAGTTTTGTATTATTATAACCAATAAAAATTTTATGTAAGCTTTAACTTACTAGCAACTGTTAAGTGTATCAATTTTCATACTGTTTAGATGAGATTATTAATTTGATTTATGGTAGATGCCTCTTTTAAAGAAAATCTGTTGGAAATGCCTGTATATTAAAAATAGTCAAAACAAAATAGAGCTATTGCTCAGTGCTACATACTGTATTTAGGGTTCTGAGTTCCTTGCCAGCACTTAAGGGAGTGAGCGTAGGGGGCCAAATGGCCCTTCTTTTGTTGAAAGGTTATAGGGAGGAGAAAGAATAAATGCAACATTAGTCTCTTATTGCTAAAGAAGATACAACTTTGAAGAAAAGGCAGTGAGTTCTATAGGGCAAAGCTAGAAGCACACACACATAGGCTCTCAGGTTAGAGAGACTTATTATTTTAGTTCTCATAGAACTCAATACATGTGTACAGTGATCCATTATCTAGTTGCATTTTAATGTAGTAGTATTGAGTGTAGCAAATGCCCTGTATATATTGATTGTACTAGTGATAAAGTGTTTTTTAGTTGGCTTGTTGATTTTTTCCAAATATTAATGATGTTGTTGCGTGTGTAGGAACAATGAGAAAAGCTCAAAGAAAGACAAATGATATAGTACTGAGTTTTGAGGTTCATATGTAAAGACTTACTGCATTGAAAAAGTTGTATTAATACACATTTAATTGAGACCTCTTAAAAAGTCAGAGCTCATTTTATAGATATTTATTCATTTTTGTAAAAACTTTGAATCTTTTTCTCAGGCTCAGTATTTTGTAAGTTACTTACTAAAACAGATATAAATTACCATGCTTTTAAATTGTACTGACCTATGATTTTCTTCAAGTTTTGGTCAGAACTATAAAGATTCTACCTTCTTGTCTTGCCTTCCTATCTTGATTTTATTGCCACTAGGGGGTGCCTCGTAATTGATCTTTATACTGACAATTTCTTTCTGGTACCAAAAAATTATAACAATATAAATTATAATATGAACATTTGTAATTGAGTTCAGAATTATTTTAATGTAAATCTTGGTTTTCAAAAACATAATTTCAAGCTGAGAATTTTAGAGTGAAGTTTTTAATCATAATCTTTGTGACAGTTGAAAGTATTTAAATCCTTTTAAGAATAGAGTTCAGGAATGTTGAAAGTGTGCTGTATTATCCCTGTGGCACAGCTGCAAATGAAATTATAATCATAATAAAATTATAAAAGGGGAAATGCTACTTACATATGTTTCATTATTATAGAATGATTCGGTTCATCAGAATGTTTTTTATTAATTAATAGATAAAAGATAAGCTCTGTTCTCAATGAGCTTGTAGCCTATTCATTAAAAGTAGTGAACCTTTTAAAATTTTTCTTTCTATTCCAGATAATTTTATTAATTATCCCTCATTGCTTATTCTAACCCTAAAACTCAATTTCATCCAGTCTCTTCTGTAGTATTTCTTTTCTCATTTGGTTTAAACATTGATATCCTTGTGAGTTCTTTTTTCAGCGGTCTCTCTTATTATACCTCTTGGAATCTATTTTCAACCTTTCAATTTTTAAAAGATATTTAAATAACCCCTTAAAAGAAATTTGTATTTACAAACTCTCATGTCCCAGTTTTCTCAGAAGTTTTCATCTATGTGTCACATATAATTCAGAGTTAGATGTTTCGAGCTGACTCATCCCCTTTCCAGAAAACCTGTATCACTACCCACATAGGCGCAGTCTCAAGTGAAGACTGTATGAAGTGCTGAGGTAGGAACTAGCATGGTGATTGTTAAAAAGGTCATTTAGTTGGGAATTTGGTTGGTTTTGTTAAGGTAGATTTTGGTAGAGTAGAAGAAGTGAGAATTGGGCTTTAGTACATTTTAAAGAGTAAGTGAGAAATGAAAGCATGTTTTATCCACAGAGAACTTGATTGTAAAGGGAAGTAAGTTTAAGGAGAAGAATTACTTGGAATAGGAGGCAAACAAGACAGCAAATGTGAACAAGTAAAACAAACAAAGCCTGGTTCTGGAAGGCGTATGGGAATGTTAGTCTGTGGGAGCATCTGTAACAGAATAGTATAAAGTAGCTGGTTTAGCAACATAATTTTAGAACTTTAGATTTATAGTCAAGACAGAAATGCAGACTAGGTCAGTTTGTGATGAAGACATTTCCCTGACTTGTAGATTGCCAATTTCTCAGAATATCCTTGCTTGGCAGGGAAAGAAAAAGTGAGTGAACTGTTTTTTCTTTCTTCTTATAAGAACACCAATCCCACTGGATTAAGGCTTCAACCTTATGACCTGAATTAGCTCCTTAAGACCGTATTTCAGATACCATGAAATTGGAGTTTAAGACTTCAACATATGAATTCAAGGGGTAATTCCAAGGGTCACTTCTGAGTAGGGAGACAGGATTGGAGTCCAGGATTAAGTATTGAAATCAAGTTAGCTAACAGAGGCAGTAGGAAAGGTAGATAGACAGTTGGTGCCAAATTGGAGGATATGTCTGATTTCTGGATTTCAATAGTTATAGTAAGAATGACAAAGTCCAAATTATGGAAAATGCTGAAATAGAAAATATATATTACTCAAAGGATAGAAGGAATTTCAAGAAAATGTAAAGTATTTGATAAGGATGGTGACATAATAATTGTCATTTCTGCCAAGCCCTTTGCACACAGTATTTTCCCTAAATCCTTACAGTAAATCGTAAGTAGATATTTTTAAACATTTTGCACTGAGGAAGTTGAGTGAAAGGTGAGGTGAGGACAGAGATATGACATGTTTGGAAGGTTGTATAATTCTGATTAGCTTTAGTCTATACTTAAAAACATAAGCCTAAGTATCCATATCACACTTAATAGTGGTAGACACTAAAGAAAGCAACCTAAATTCATCTAGAAAAAGACTTAGTTGATGTATTAATAGATAGGAATTTAAAAACAACTGTAGAATAAAATATCATTCAATGGAAAAACAAATCAAATATACTAACAATACCTGTAAATAAGATGGTATTAAACTTTTTTTTTTATTTTATTAAAAGCAGCTGCCCTCACCTTAGTCTGGTAAGAGTATGCCCACAGTCTCCTTAGTTCCAGTTTTAGAAGCAGAGTTTGAAGCAATGTAACTCATTCGAGGTCAAGTAGGGCTAAGACAGAAATTCTAAATTTGGATCTTCAAAAATTCCTTTAAGATAATAGCAGGAAAAATGGAAAACAAAGGAGGAAGAAGTAATGCCTAAGTACTCTACGCTAATATTACTTACAAGAATGTAGTATAATAATGTTAATGATACTTGAGCTTCATTTTAAGGCAAATGGCATCAAGGGACAATTTGCCAGTAATACATACAAAACAACAATTGTGGACATGTATGTTCAAGTCAGCAAAATTAGAAAGAAAGACAGATGAGTCATAATTGTGTATCAGATTTATTTACTGATATTATAAGCTGTAGCAGATTTGAGTAACTCAAATCAAACACACATGAAATACTTAAGAAAATAGACCAAAATGCCAGTTTAAAAGAATGAAGGTCATATTTGACCAAATTCCTATACCTTTGTTCTCATAAGTTTAATTCTAATTAACGTTATTATTAGACTTTTTAAGTTAGTAAATGTTTTTAATAAGAAGATCTTTAAAAGTGGCTCATTTTAAGAAGAATACATTCCGGATGAAAAAAGAAACCTGTCCCCAATTAAAACATCAATGGCGGCCACAGCACATCTAATTGGAGTGATGCACCAAATCCATTTATACAGTTTACTGCCTATTGATAGGTTGGTGACTACTGAGATTTGCTTGTTAGCATCACACTTTGAAAAAGAGCTGCAGGTATTCTCTATGATGGGAACTTATTTAATGGACAGTCAGAAAGTTGCTCACTAATTCATGAAGCAAGAAACTTAATACATTGCAAATATAATTATTTCTTTATATTTTCCCTTAACAAATGGAATCATGTTTATACACTTACTATTTTCCAGTTGTGTAGATCACAATATATCAGTAGCACCACTAATTACCATGTTTTGATTAGTCTTACATACTTTTGGTTAAGTCATTTTGTTGAATATAATATATCACTGTATTGATAAACTGTAATTATAGGCATAAGGCCACCTGGAATTTGAAATTATCTTGAAAAATGTTATTAGGAATTATGTAAAATGAAATGTTTGTTTTTCTAGACCTATTTAATTGTCAGCAAAGAAAGCAATTAAAAGTAGCTGCAGACTCAGAGGCCAACCTTTGTTAAACATGGTTTTAAAATTGTTACAGAACTTGTGGTGATGATAACATGGTGTCTTGGAGGATGTTAACAACTGTAGCAGAGTGTTAATTAAGAATGAGGTAATCTTCAGCTCAGAATTGCTAGAATGTTAGTTTACTGGACAGAAGCAAAACCTAGTTTTGGTTATGATAATAGCTCAAGTCATATTTATAGTGGAAAGATTAACATTTTATTTTTATGCTGTTCCTAAGACAATTTTAAAATCCTCAATGAAATACAATCATATGTAAACATCAAGGCCTTAGCTCATTTACATATGTGCCAGATTTTCAAACTGATTGCTATTTGAACCTAATCTGTCATTGCTGGCTGCATTAGCTACAACAAACATTACATTTACATATTGATTTCTTATTTTGTTTTAGTGTAAATAATCTATAATTATAGTAAATTTGGTCTTTTGTTGACAAGACCTCATGTGACTCAAGTTTAGAATAGAAATTTAAATTACATGTGTTTTGCTTTTTAATTCAAAATCTGATGTATCTCATAGGATAAAAAGATAATTGTAGTTCACAAAATATTAAAAAGGGACAAAAAGAAAATCTTAATGTTTAGAAAGATACAAATTATATTTTTCTAAAATGATGAACATTTTATTATATAAATTTCTGGTGTTTTAAATAAGTTACTA